AGGAATTTACATGACCCAACTGCAAATGCACATTTCTCCGGGTTCAACTTCATATTGTATCGCTTCAATATGTTGAAGGTTTCTTGCAAATATTTTAAATGGTCCTCTGCTCGCAAGGACTTAACCAACATATCATCAATGTAAATTTCCATTGATTTTCCTATTTGTTTCTCGAGCATATGGTTTACTAGGCGTTGGTAAGTGGCACCGATAATTTTTAATCCGAAAGACATCACGTTATAGCAGTATGTGCCGTATTTAGTGATGAAGGAGGTTTTTTCCTGATAACCCGGGTTCATTCGTATTTGGTTGTACCCGGAGTAGGCATCGAGAAAATTGAGGATCTCGTGGCCGGCCGTGGCATCGATCATACGATCGATGTTGGGCAAAGGGAAGGAGTCTTTAGGATATGCCTTATTCAAATTCTTATAGTCTACACACATTCTTAATTTATTCCCCCTTTTAGGGACTACCACTACGTTCGCTAACCAATCCAGGTATTTAACCTCCCGAATGGATCCTATTTTAAGAAGTTTAGATACCCCATATTTGATGAAAGAGTGTTTGACCTCGGAATGGGGTCCCCTCTTCTGCTTAACCGGATGGAACTTCGGATCCAGGATTAGCTTGTGAGTGGTTATCTCCGGTGGTATCCCTGTCATGTCAAGGTGGGACCAAGCGAAACAATCTTCGTTAGTCATAAGAAATTGAATGAGTTTTTTCCTGAGCTCGGGGCTTAATCCCGTACCCAGGTATACCTTTCGATCAAGCAAGTGTTTACTCAATACAACTTATTCAAACTCCTCGACCATCGATTTAGTGGCGTCGGAATCATCGGGGGCTATAAAAGATTTGGGGACCCCGTAATCATCATCCTCGTCTACCCTTTGTTCCTCTGATTCTGCCGAGGTTGGCATCAGTGATTGCTACTTGGCCCAATTTTTGACCATCTGGTTCGGATATAGCTCAGTTGAGATTGCGGATGTCGGTATTACTTCATCGACCGCGAGCATTTCCTTAGTGGCCAGTTGTTCCCCATACACTATTTTGACTCTGCCAGGTGTTGGGAATTCAGTACCTGGTGCAGTGTCGAGGGCACTGCTTTCATGTTGCGAATCCACGGCCTCCCGAACAAAGCGTTGTACCTCATGTATCCTTCGATCACATAAAACTTAGCTTCCTGGATGGTTCCGGCGGTGTTCACCAGTAATGTTATCTCACCCTTAGTGGTTTCACATGCCATGTTGAATCCATTTAGAACTCAAACTGCAGGCATGATTTGGTCTTGTAGATTGAGCTGCTCTACGACCCTCGATCGGATAATGTTGGCCGAGATACCTGGATCAATTAACACACGTTTAACTCAAACTTTATTTACGAGTACATATATTACCAGTGTATCATTGTGGGGCCGTATGATCCCTTTCGCGTCCTCGTCATTGAAAGACAAGGTCCCTTCTGGTATGTAATCTCGAGTCCGTTTTTCCCTCGTGATGGATACTTTGGTGCGCTTCATCATCGGCCCCTGAGGGGCATCGACCCCACTGATAATCATGTTAATGACGTGTTGAGGTTCCTCTTGTTTGGTTTGTTTGCTAGAATCCCTATTTCCAAAATGATTCTTTGCTCGGTCGCTCAGGAATTCTCGAAGATGCTGGTTGTTGAATAGTTGGGCTACTTCATCTCTCAACTGCCGTTGATCCTCCTTTCTGTGGTCGTGAGTGCTGTGATATTTACACATCTGGTTAGGATCCCTTTGGGTTGGATCGAATTGTAGAGGTCGAGGCCATTTGGTATCTTTGATGCGTCTAATAGCTGATACAATGGCGGAAGCATCGACGCTAAAGTTGTATTCTGATAACCTCGGTGCCTTTTTAGGCCCGATGATCTTGTCGAAGTCGTTCCTGCTCATGAGTCCTCGGTTGCTCTGACCTCGATCTCTTCTCCTTTCATTCCTTATAGAGTTCTGCCCGGACCCACTGCTTCTTCAATCTCCATTATACGGTTGATACCGATCCCTGTTTGGCCTTGGTTCACGATCGATGTCTCTCTTGACTCTGTCGATGGTTCTGATTGGATAAACAGACCCCGAAGGGGCCCCGAGTTGATCATCTTCCACTCTAATTTTTGATTGATACCGGTTATGCACGTCGGCCCAAGTAACGACCGAATAGTTTATCAAGTTTTGTTTCAACTGTTGTGAAGCCACTGAGCTTCGAACATTAATCCCTTGGGTGAAAGCCTGAATGGACCAATCATCAACACCAGAGGTAGATCCATTCGTTCCATTTGAAATCGGGACACGAACTCTCTGAGCATCTCGTTATTCTTCTGTTTTACTTTGAAAATGTCTGATTTCCTGGTTTCGACCTTAATGGCCCCGGCGTGTGCTTTCACGAAAGAATCCGCAAGCATAGCAAATGAGTCAATAGAATTGAGAGGCAAGTTATGATACCATATCATAGCCCCTTTTGATAGGGTCTCTCCAAACTTCCTCAACAGGACAAACTCGATCTCGGCATCCTCCAAGTCGTTCCCTTTGATGGCACATATGTAAGAGGTTACATGCTCATTCGGGTAGGTCGTTCAGTTATAATTGGTAATCTCGGGCATATAGAATTTCTTAGGGATTGGCTTTGGAGCCGCGCTCGGAGGAAAATGTTTTTGCACGAACTTTTTGGAATCCAGGCCTTTCAATATTGGAGGTGCTCCTAGGATTTGGTCTACCCTAGAATTGTAGGTTTCCACCGTTTGGTTAGCTCTTCGAGCATCTTTACAATCTCGGGGTTAGCCATCGATACGTAGATCGGGTTCAACTCTACTCGGTGCATGGGTTTGGTTCTGTAACTGAGCTATCACCGCCTATTGTGCCTGCAGCATTTCGAAGATCAACCGTAAACTGATCCCGTCCCCTCTAATGTTTTATGTATTTTGAGTTTCCGATCGAGATCCACCACAGATGCTATTCTCGGGGTCAGTAGGCAAATTTGCGTCGATAGCCACATGTGAATTAGCGTCAATTGGGTCCGCGACTGGAATTCCTACGGGATAAACGGGAGGTATTGTTGCTATTTTCATCGTGATAACCGGACTCGTTATCAACATGTAAGGGTGCTGATTGAGAGTTCGACATTTCGAGTTTTAACCTGAAAGTAGAGACACTTCAAAGAACAAGTGTAAAGCAGTATGTGTTATGGAAATTTGTATCAAATAACCACTATTATCCTTAGCCCCACGGTGGGCGCCAAACTGTTTACCCTCAAAATCGGATAACAATTGAATTTGTAAGTAGTTTTAAGGATACGTGATCTAACTTGATACAAAATGATAAATCAGATTACAATTGAAATAAGTAATGGAAAAGTAAATATTGACCGCACAAGTTGAACAGTTTTAGCCTTGGAAGATTAGCCACCCTTGAGCCAAAAGTATTTATAATAAGAACTTAAAGAGAATAATAGTAAATTGCTTTGTGATGCACGTTACAATGTGTTGAATGAATTATTAGACCCCCTTTTTATAGTAGAGGAATCCTACTCTAGGTACATTTTCATAAAAGGTAAAGATCGCTTGATTCGCTAATTGCCGATTCCTTACTGATACGTGCCGAGATTCCCGCCGCAATATCCGACCGGTCACAGATATTTCGATCTTTTGTTAGTTATCTCAACAATGTTTCTCTGAGCTCGTTCGAGGCTAAGGTCAACACCGAACTCACTGCTCCTCGAAGGCAGGCGTTCTAACCTCGGGTTCTAGTTCGGTGGGACTCGAGGTTGATATTCAGTCCTTGGTTGCCACGTTCCAATCCTAATCTACCAAGTTGTTGGCGAGCTCGATTTCGACCGTATACACGTTCACCGAACAATAATAGAGATGATTACGATGAGAAAAAAGGACAAGAATCCATGATGGTATTTCAAACTAGCCCAACAATCCATTTATAAGCAGATAATTCCCGAGATAATATCAATTGTAATTCAGTAATCATATATTGGAAGCTGCTCGGTTATGTATTTACCTTGACATTGTGATAGCAATTATCAGCCTTGAAGTTTAGGAAGATTCCTCACCTGGTTTTGCTTTTGGAAAGTCGTTGACACTGGAAAAGGTTGTTCTGTTGCATGGCGAATATTTCCGAAGAACAGCATTATCTTTCTGAATGTCTTGGATTGCTGATATTCAACACGTCTAGATTTTGGAGAGATTTCCAAGAATGAATCAACTAAAGCATTTGCAAACTCCACATCGTTAATACGGTAAGGGCAGACCTTAACTTATCAATGAACAAACATTTCAATGTTCTGAGTTGAGTTTAGCAGTGGAATGTAGCTTTATAGACTGCTAATCCTCTTCCTTATAAGTAACTGTGGTACCTAACGATGTTTAACTATTTCCAACAAGCATTTGTAGCCCATGTATAAGACAACTAGTTGTCTCGGAATCATAAAAGACTTTGCCCGGTACATCCACTGCAGAGACACCTTTCTCTCGCAAGCAAACACATACACTTGATGACGCCTTGTTCAGCTTTTCTGCTATAATTGCAGCAAATTTCTTATTCTCACCTACTGTGGTACACATTAACGACATCTCCAACAATAAGCATTCTGTAAATTATAACTTAAAAGGAACACCTCAAGTACTTGTTTGATCATTAGTTTATCAAATTGAAAATCATATGCTTAATTCTGCAGTCCAGACACAACATAATTCAGTAAATTTTCAAAACTGAGGCAAAATATCTCTTAATAACAAAAAAATTACGCCCCAAAATGTTTAGCTGTCTACTTGTTGTAAATTGTGCAAGATGATGATCAAACAATGCTACTTTGTTACTAGACCGTATAATTGTAAGAGTGTGACTGGTCGGTATTCCAACATTAACTTTTTAGATAATGCTACTGCTCAATATTTTGAGGAATTCAATCAGAGCCATACAATGAGAAAATAGAAAGATGAATATTGACAGAGTCAGGAATATAAATCACCTGTGCGTTATGTTAATGAATCTTCCTTTGCTTAAAGTCAGGAGATATGGTATTTTTAGGACCAAAAGTGACCATATCCAATGCTCCCGCACTCAGAACCAAAGGAATCTTCTTCTCTAATATTGCATCAAATTGGGAAAAATCACTTGCCATAATCCCTCCAACTATGTAATCTGCAACCTCAGTTGTCGTAATATCCAACACACCCTAAAATAAGATAAATAAGATATAGGATATTAATTGTGTTCCAGAAACAGAGATAATGTAATACTACTTCAGTAATTTTTCCTTTTCAAAGTCGCACAGATAGCAGTAACAATTGACAAGCCATTTCAGTGAACGAAATGTAAGTGTCCACCTTCTTCGAGATGAATTTTCCTGGTTCCTACATAATATTAATGGTATCTACGTAGTACTTTTTAAGGATTGTTAGGAGAAAGAGGACTTATTGGTCTGCAGAAGTTTCAATTTTAAGACTTTAAAGTTCATTATAAGGGAAAATAGGAAATATGATTACCCTTCCCTAATTTATATACAACTGACACCATGAGTGGTGATAGAGCGACAGGATTACCTGTATAAGACCTCCTCTAACGAGTTCCTCCATTGCGCTGCCTCCGACACCAGTGGCGTGGAAAACCGAAGTTTCATATCCTTCTTTAGCTAATCTTTCTGTTACAGCATTAACACAAGGAGTTGTAACCCCATACATCGTTATACCAACTGTAAACTTTTCATTAGTGTTGATGTACTCCTTTGATCTTTCACGCCTTCCAATTATCATTCCAGCAAATGCTGCACCGGCATTAGATAGAACAATCTTACTAACATTGTTAATCCCACAAATATATACAACGGAAGCCCGTCGGAAGGAAACAATACCAAGTCTGATGTTCCTGACGAGAGCAAACCTTGCCGTAAAAAAAAGAAAAGTAGACAAAACAAAAGAATGAAAAGTCAAAGAGAGAAGAAAAAGTAGTATGAAATAGGCGGAAGAATTCATCTTTGAATTCTTTTCTTATGACGTAAGTGATTACGTCGGCCGGACATTCAAATGCCTATTAAAAGAGGTCTACCTTTTCATTTGCAGATCATCCCCAACCTCTTCTTTCTCTTAAATTAATAAAGAGTTATTCTTTGTGTGGTCGTGGAGTAAGCAAAAATTATCGAACCACGTAAATCTTGTCTTGTCTTGTGCAATTTATTATTTTTCTCTTTTAAATATTTTTTCTCTTCTATTAGCCTGACACGCTTCCCAACAACTGATATAAAAGCACATGCAACATAATTCTGGCAGAAAAAATATAGTATTGGTGCAATTTACTATTCACAAAATTAGTGCAAGATTATTGTTCATTATTCACAATACTGAAGTACTATTCATAAATAGTAAAGTATTATTCACAAATGGTAAGGCACTATTCACATAATTTTTGTGTGCGTGCAAAATGACGTCGAAAGAAGGAAAAGTGAATATTGACAAGTTCAATGGCAAAGATTTTGGATTCTGAAAAATGTAAATAGAGGACTATTTGTACCAGAAAAAATTACACTTCCCTCTGACCGGGGTAACACTAGAGAATATGGCCAAATGGATTGGGATCTATTAGATCGCCAAGCTCTTGATGTGATTCGTTTGACGCTAACACGAAATATGGCGTTTAACATCATTAACGAGAAGACCACTGCAGGCCTGATGAAAGCGTTATCAAATATGTACGAGAAGCCATCTGCTTCAAATAAAGTTTATTTGATACATCGATTGTTCAACTTAAAGATGGCAGAAGGTAGATCTGTTACGGAACATATCAATGACTTTAATATAATATTAACTCAGTTGAGTTCTGTTAATATAATATTTGATGACGAAGTTAGGGCGTTGATTATACTATCATCTCTACCGGAGAGTTGGTATGCAACAGTAACTGTAATTAGCAGTTCATCAGGAAGTACCAAACTCAAATTGGATGATATTAGAGACTTGGATCTAAGCGAAGATATTCGCCGGAGAGAATCAAGTGATTCCCCAGGATCTGCTTTTAATACCGAAAACAGGGGGAGAAGCAGTCAAAGAGGACAAAGTCATGGTCGTGGCAGATCAAAGTCAAGGAGAAGAGGGCAATTCTAAAACCGCAAAGACATTACTTATTGGAATTGCGATAAAAAGGGTCACTACAGTAGTCAATGTAGAGAGCCAAAGAAGAAGAAGAACGACCAATACAAGGATGATAATTCAGCAAATGCAATTGCTGAAAAAGTCGGTGATGCACTAATTTGTTGTGCAGATAGTCTAGTCGAATATTGGATTCTGGACTCAGGAGCATCCTTTCACTCTACCACATGCAAAGAATTATTGCATAATTATATTGCTGAAAAATTCAGGAAGGTTTATCTAGCAGACGACGGACTTTTGGATATTGTCGGGAAAGGTGAAATTCATATAAAGACTTCACAAAGGACGCTATGAAAATTGCAAAATGTTCGGCATGTTCTTAGCCTCAAGAAAAATCTAATATCTATGGGTCAGATTGACAGTGAAGGATACACAACAGTATTCGGTAATGGATCATGGAAAATAACCAAAGGAAATTAGATACTATAGCAACAGTTGATCATGGTCGTGATACAACACTGTGGCACCGGAGGCTCGGGCATATGAATGAGAACGGAATAAAGTTTTTGGCATCCAAAGAAAAGTTTCAAACCTAAAGCATGTTGAATTAGGTTTGTGCGAAGATTACATTTACGGAAAAAAAAGAGAGAGCTAGATTCTCAAAGGCGGGAAGGACGCCAAAGAAAGAGAAACTGAAACTAGTGCATACAGATATGTGGGGACCAACTCCAGTAACTTCTCTGGGAGGCTCACACTATTATGTCACCTTCATTGATGATTTCACAAGAAAGGTATGGGTTTATTTTCTGAAAAATAAATCTGATGTGTTTGTTACCTTTAAAATATGAAAAGCTGAAGTTGAAAATCACACGAGTCTAAAGTTAAAATGTATGAAGTCTGACAATGGAGGAAAGCATGATTGTCAAGAGTTTAAAGCATTCTGCTCTAAGGATGGGATCAGAATGATCAAGTCAGTTCCTGGAACACCGAAACAAAATGGCATTGCTGAGAGGATGAACAGAACCCTGAATGAACGAGCCATAAGTATGAGAATACATTCTGGATTGCCGAAGTATTTTTGGGCCGAGGTTGTTAACATAACAGCTTACCTTATAAACAGGGGACCTTCTGTACCGCTGGATTTTGAAATTCCTGAGGAGGTATGGAGAGGAAAGGAGGTAACTCTCTCACATCTGAAATTTTTTGGTTGTGTTGCTTATGTGCATGTAAACTCTAATGATAGAGATAAGCTTGATCCTAAAGCCAAGAAATGTTTCTTTAATGGCTATGGTGACGATAATTTTGGTTATCAATTTAAGACACATGAATGTCACATTTACTGAAAATGTGATATACAAGGACAAGTTTAAAGTAGAACCAACCAGCACCAACAAACAGGCATCTGAAGCTGTTGAGTTAGAAGAAATCTCAGAAAATGAAGTGGCTAGGGGGATTACAACTGACTATGAAATTGAAGATGAAGAACCAGAAGTCGAATATGGATCAGAACCAGAACCAGAGATAGAATCAAATGCAGAACCAAATCTGGAGTCAGGACTTGAATCAAATTCGGGATCAGTTACTCCTGAACCTACATTAAGGAGATCTAAAAGAGTTACGAATGCTCCAAATATGTTAACTCTCTCTCCACTATTTACTTCTGACTGATGCTGGAGAACCAGAATATTTTGTTAAAGCAATGCAGGTGATAAACTCTTATAAGTGGAAGCTAGCCATGAAAGAAGAGATGGATTCTCTTCAAAAGAATAAAATATGGATACTTACAGAGTTACCAAAAGGAAAGAAGTCATTGCAAAACAAGTGGGTGTACAGGGTCAAGGAAAAGCATGATGGTAAGAAGACATACAAAACACTTTTAGTAGTAAAAGGCTTTCAGCAGAAGGAAGGAATTGACTACACCGAGATCTTCTCTCCTGTAATCAAATTAACTACTATCAGGTTGGTGTTAAGTATCGTTGCTGCAGAAAATTTGTATTTGGAGTAGCTAGATGTTAAAACTGCTTTCTTGCATGGTGACCTTGAAGAAGACATTTACATGAAGCAACCTGAAGATTTTTAAGTTTCTAGTAAAGAAAACTTTGTGTGCAAGTCCAAGAAGAGTTTGTATGGTTTGAAACAAGCTTCTCGACAATGGTACAAGAAATTTGATGGATTCATGCATAACAATGGTTTCACGCGATGTGAGAAGGACCATTGCTGTTATATCAAAAATCTTGATGAATCCTATATCATTTTACTGTTGTACGTTGATGATATGCTAATTGCAAGATCTAGCATAAAAGAGATCAACAGGGTTAAGCAACAACTGGCGGAGGAGTTTGAAATAAAAGACTTGGGACCAGCTAAGCAAATGCTTGGGATGAGGATTAGTAGAAACATGTCTGAAGGAAATTTAAAGTTGTTTCAAGAAAAGTACATACAAAATGTACTAAGCAGGTTCAGTCTTCATGATGCAAAGACCAGAAGCACTCCACTCAGAAGCCATCTTAATCTGTCGAAGGAGCAATCACCTAAGACAGATGAAGAAAGGAAGTACATGTCCAAAGTTCCATATGTTTCAGCAATAGGAAGTTTGATGTATGTTATTATTTGCACTAGACCTGACATAGCCCGTACAATTGGAGTTGTCAGTAGATACATGTCAGATCTAGGAAAGGAGCATTGGGAAGGTGTAAAATGGATATTGCAGTATCTCAAAGGCACATCAGGTATGACACTTTGTTTTAAAAAGAGCAATATTATCTTACAAAGTTTTGTTGATTCAAATTTAGGTGGCGATCTGGATAGTCGAAAAAGTACCACATGCTACGTGTTCACCTTGGGTGGTACTGATGTTAGCTGAATGTCCAGACCTTAGAAAAGTGTTTCTCTGTCTACCACTGAAGCAGAGTACATGACAATCTCAGAAGCTGGAAAAGAGATGATTTGGCTCAAGAATTTTCTTAAAGAGTTAGGTAAAGAGTAGGACAATTGTGAGCTTTTCAGCGATAGCCAGAGTGCAATACATCTTGCCAAGAATCCAGTGTTTCATGCAAGATCGAAGCATATCCTGTTGAGGTGTCATCATATCCGAGAGTTGATAAATGAAGAAATTTTTTCCCTACGGAAGATACCAGGATCGAAGAACCCGTCAGATATGTTGACCAAAGTTGTCGATGTTGACAAACTGATGTTGTGTACTGCCTCAGTTAGCCTTCAAGACTAATAATGTGAAGGCGCCACCAGAAAATGGTAAATCATTTTTAATATCTTTCTTGATGTAACATAGGTTTTGAGGGGGAGATTGATGGGGAAAACCTTGTTGTATGTGAAAGAAAGAAAAATAGACAAAACAAAAGAATGAAAAGTCAAAGAGAGAAAAAAAAGTAATATGAAACAAAATGGTAGGCGGAAGAATTCATCTTTGAATTCTTTTCTTATGACGTAAGTGATTACGTCAGCAGTGCATTGAAATGCCTATAAAAGGGGTTTGCCATTTTATTTGGAGATCATCATCAACCTCTTCTTTCTCTTAAATTAATAAAGAGTTATTCTTTGTGTGGCCATAGAGTAGGCAAAAATTGCTGAACCACGTAAATTTTGTCTTGTCTTATCTTGTCTTGTGTAATTTATTGCTTCTCTTTTAAATATTTCTTCCCTTCTATTAGTGTTGCGACCAAACACACTCACGCAAGTATACGCGGTCGTCAAGTAATAAAGTGACTC